ATATTTTGCAAGTATCAATGTTCGAAAAATTATATTTGCAAATAATACAATATCATAGAAAAAAAAGCGTCAATGTTGGCTATGAAATAAAGATCGCTGTCATTTTATCGCTGTCATTGGCTGTTCTATTAGAGACGGCATTGGCTCAACATGGCCGCAAGTTGCTAACCTAATAAAATTAACACTAGAAAAGCCCGCGGGAACTGTCAAATTCAAAGTTATTCGTTTTACAGACTATAGCATGTGAACTACAGTACATCTGCTGGATCTGTGTCTTTGAAAGGAATTCGTTTCGCAGACTATATTTTTTAGTATGCGATGTGTTTTTGATGGGATGTCGTTCCATTTTCTGGGTCATTCTTTTTTTTTTTCTCGTGTAATATACGAGTACCCTTTAAATCAATTTCAGAAGGTAGATAAATAAGGAAGTAAATTAGCTTTACGTAATTTTCACAAAAGTAATTTGGCTTACATTACAGAGAGCTTTCTGGTAAATATTCCTGAACCTGTTCGATATATTTATTGATCGATATCTTTATCCTTAAATTGAACTTTGATAAATGTAGTGTCAAATTTTATTCGCATCCGCACAAAATCGGTAGCGTTAGTAGCAGCCGTATTTCATTTAAATCGGTATAAATACTGCAGCCATTAATGTGATTTACATAGGAAATGCCGCTTTGTAGAACATCGTTAAAAGTGGCTCATTTACCGAACGTAAAGCTGGCCATTTCGCGCTGGTTCGATTGCCAAATGATATCTTTCTCTAGGAAATATAGGCGTTTAATGCTTTTAATGTTTATTTTTAAGCGGGTGAGTAAGCAGGTCTTTTGAGTACAAAGAAGATGTTATGACCTAAATTACTCGATTTATATTCAGAATGCGATAAAATTTAATCAAATAATAGCATGAAAGTTAATTCAGTGTTTCCAAAACGTCAGTATTTTTGTGTTGTATATGAGAGTTATTTTTAGAGATTCTTATTAATTTATATACATATAATTTATATACTTACATATTTATATACATACATTATATATATATATATATATATATATATATATATATATATATATATATATATATATATATATATATATATATATATATATATATTTCTTGATAAAATAATAAATACTTATTTATAAAACTACTGTATTAAATAAAAGTAAACTGTTATAAATTTAAATAAAGTCTATAAACTAATGTCGATTTTGAAAATAGCTACTGTCATCAAATTGCCATGTCGACACCAGCCATCTTGATTGCCATTTTACTGAAAAATCGCTTTTTATTAAAAATCTGAGCCAGATAGGTATAGGAAACCCTAACATAGTTTGAAAGAGCATTTGAATCTTCTTCTATTTACTTTAAAAAATACAGGGTGTTGTATTTGAAATTTTTTATGTAAAATATATATTTAAAATAGACCTGCAATTTTTCATAATCCTGTATACATTTAAAGCAATAACATTTTTTAGAAAAGTTTATTTTTCTGACTTCAAAGTCAGCACAAGAATTAATTCTGAAAAGCAATGTATAGGGTGTTGACAATATTTTTTATTATAGCATGCATATTTAAATATCTTTAAATATCTCAAAAACCAAAGCATTTAAACATATTAAACTCGTATAATAAATGTCGTATTTTATGTCCAAAAATGAAATAAAATACAGAGTGTGTGTTCCATAAGAAAAAAATATAACTTTGGTATGGATCTTAGTTCTGACACACCCTGTACATTTGAAAATAATTTTAAATTATGAACATTCCTCTCTACATATACCCATAAAAAATTGTTTCTACATCTTTCCGTTTTCGTATAATCAACCGAGGCGAATGAGGTGCGCCAATCCAATATAGGGTCTCTCCAAAAAAATCCAATATGGAAAAATAATTGATTTTTTTTAACAGAACGTCAACGGTTTTTTGTAGACGTATCTGTTTTAGAAAAAGTAAAGTATTCTCGAATAGTTGAATTTAAATATTTTAAATAGTTTTTTTCTTTATTCTTTGTATATTTTTTTGCTTCCGACGCGACGACGGAAAGAGATAAACTTTCCGAAACGTTAAGCATTTTTTTCTTTGTTAGGCAAATTTGTATAACTGTAAACATAACTTCTGACCAAGACTTCTGACAAGCAGTTTCCGTTTAGATTTAACGCAGAAGTGTTTACAAAAAATAACAATTTTATTTTGTAGATTTTCTTGTAGTGCATAGTGGCGAAATACCCATATTGGATTTTTTTTGGCGAGGTGAATCCGCCACATAGGTATAGACATTTTTTTCCAATTTATGGTGCTACAAATTTGGAGTACAAGCATTAGTATCTCGGAAACCGTAATAGATACGAACATTATTAAATTGGGGCAAAGTTGCGCCTTAGGATGTTCGCCCAAGGCGCAAAGTCATATTAATATTTTTTGTTGGGTTGGTAGTTACTCTAGCAAACGATGATTTTAAGTCCAGAACTTGATCTCTAGCATTTTCAATTAAAGCAACAGTAGTGGATACAACTCATAGACTTCTAAAATAATCTCTGCTTGAGTACTCCCAACAAGCAATAGTAACTTTTCACTAATAGTGACATTAGAATAACAATAAACTGTGTGTTCATGATAACCGAAATCAAAGGCATTCTTTTGATGCTAAAATTGCTCTAAATTGTTAGTGCCCTCTTCAAAAGTGAATTTATCCAACAAAAATAAAGGTATCGAGACGAATCAAATTATCGAGAAAAGATGCACCTTGATAATAAGGTAGTTTTTAAATATCGTATTTTGTTAAACCATTTTACAGGGTTTTTCAAACTTAAAAATTCAAATAATTTAGCTTACAAAATCGTTTTATTTTTAGATAACAGTTGAAACTGTTATAGTTATTTATAAAAAGCAGCTTAAAAATAACAGGTTTCTATATTTTATTGCTAAAAATCTGAAAGAGTATGAGGCGGTCACCGCCAGGCGTATTAAAGCAGTTGCAAGTTGCAACAATGACGTGCTCGGTGGTAGTATTTCCAGGGTGTGAAAACATTTCTAATTATAGATTGTTATCTAAAATACCTCTCCAAAAACGGTGGTTGTTTACAAATAAGCGCTGTTTACAAATTACGATATAAAAAAGCCAAAATTCCACCACTCGTCTATACCTATACATTCCGATCTACCTACGCCCTGCTCCTCGATCCGCGTAGATCCTGAATTGCGTATCAGTGTACAGGGTGCATCTCACTCGACGGGCGAGAAGCTCTTAGTTATGATTTTACCATTTGCGGTCAAAAATAGCAATATAACAAAATGTGTAGTATATTCTTCGTAAGTAAACCAACTACACACTAGAGTTCGAATTAATTTTACACTTAAACTAGCGTGTACCCGCGACTTCGTTCGCGTCGAATTAATAATTTGTAATGGTGATGATAAAGCAAAGCAAGAATTTCCATTAACATACAAACTGGATAAAATTTTCTCACATTTGCCAAAAATAAGCTTTAAACGTCGAGCAGTTTAAGCAGAATCGTGGTTAATCAATTACTCAACTTTTTGGAACATCCTGTATGATTTTTTAAAAGAATTCTAAATATGTAAAAAATCAAGATAAATTATGCGTGTCCAAGCGTTTTCCCGAAAGACTAACCGTTTTTTAAATAACAAATATTGTAATATTTGAGGGGTGTTTTCACCCTCTTCAAAAAATCAGCTTTAAACGTCAAGCAGTTTAAGCAGAATCGTGATTACTCATATTTTATGAAACACCCTGTATATATTTTTAAAAAATCTTAAAATATGTAAAACAACAAAATAAAATATAGGTGTTTAAGAGTTTTTCCGAAAAACTCACCGGTTTTTAAATAAAAAATATTCTAACATTTGAGGGTGGTTTCACCCCCTTAGAATTCGAGTTTCAAAAAATCCCTTCTTATCGAACCTCTTCACCCTAAAGTCAATCCGTTTTCCAAAAATCAGCTTTTTACGTCAAGGGCTTTAAGCAGGATCGTGATTAATCAATGACCAGATTTTTCAAAACACACTGTATACATTTTTAAAAAATCTTAAAATATTATTCTGAAAATTTTTCATAATAAATAAATACATAAATATTGAAACTTAATAAGTAAGTACTGAAACATACAGCGCCATAATATTTCGACCTCCGCCCGTTATGCTCGTAACAGGTTGAAAAACAATGTAAAAAATGTATCTAAAACAACTGATGCGTTATTCTCCAACCTGTTTCGAACCTCCATCGACAATCGACCGATGCAACAGCGTTACTTTCCCACTTCGATTATCTCGACCGCCGCTCTGTTATGCTCGTAACAGGTTAAAAAACAACTTATCTAAAATGTGACTGCTTCTTCAACCCGTTGAGAGCCTCCATCGACAATCGACCGATGCAGCTGCGTTCTTTTCCCACTCCTGTTATCTCGACCGCCAGGCGTTATGCCCGCAACTGTTTCAAAAAAGCTGCTTTTTTTATATCCTATTATTTTTAAGCTGTTGCAAGCCCCACGCGACCATCGCCGATGCAGCTACGTTCGCCGCGCCGCGCCGTAGCGCATTCCCCACTCCGTTGTCCGTTGTATCTCAGCGCCTGTATCGATGGTTGTCGAAATAACATGTTTTCCATCCATAATCCATACTAGTTGTTTTTTGGAATTGCTTCGAGCAGCATCGAATTTCGTGGCGGTGCAGAGCGCCGACTTCGTTTCACGCACGGTCGATCTCTGCGTATCGTTATTTTATATCTGGTTATTTTTTAAAAGTAGTAACGGTTGCGTTATGTTATTTCTAAATAATTGTTATAAAATAACAGACAGTTAAATAACAATCCATCACTAACTTATTTTCCCTAAATAAATACCAATCATAACCATTATTAGTGGAATGATGGCAAAAGGTATACTAATAAAAACTGATAATCTTATTTAAACGTTGTTTGAATGTTCCTTAACATTGTAGTATTATTAACACTTTATTTTACTGTTTTTTGTTTCAGAATACGAAGCCGACGTGAAGACACTACAAAACTGCCTATTTCCACCTCAACTGACCTCGTCTAACAGTTATTTTTCGAATTTCTTTATCAAGACTACAGCTTCCTTCAACGAAGACGATGAGGAGCTTCGCATTAAAATTAAAGAATCGTTCGTGGCACGGGAACTGTTTCCTAGCATCAAAGATGCCGCTTTTGTTCTGCAACCACCAAGATGGCCAACTGAATGTCAGGTATCTTATTTTTGAGGATGTATAATGTAGAATGAGTCGAAGTAGTACTCATGCCGGCAGTCAGTTGCTCTAAACAAAGCTTCAATGGAGCTCAGAATCTGGCTTATTACATAGTATAAGATAAGAGAATATTGTTGCGACCTAGCTGGGGGTTGTTTCCTAGGATCGCTAGACCAGGTTCTCTCTTTTAATCAAAACAACCATTAGAAAGGTATGCATTTATTAAATAAAAGCGTACTGACAATTTCAACAAATAAGTGTAAATGACAACTTTAGGAAATGTCAAGCCTTAAGGGTTCAAGACTCAAAGAGATACTTACAGGAACATCTTATCTGACTGGCTGACTTCTGTAACTGACTAACCGACCGACTAACCGACTTATACTGCAACTAACCGACTACCCTTGACTGTCTTCAGCATGCCCTTTTATATTTGTTCGCTCGTCCCAATCATCGGCGGGTGCGTCATAAAAAGTTTTCTTTGTATATTTCCAGCACCGATGTTTAGTACGAGCTTGCCTTGAAACATCATGCTACATCGACCTGACTTTAATTGTTTTAATTAACAATGTTTACTATAAGAACATGTCTAGGTCGACGTATACGTGAACGATTCCTTTGGGTCTACATCAAATTGGTTTACTGGAATTATATATTACATGATTTTTCCCAATTTGATATAAATCCAAGTTGGCTTATATTTAAGTCTTGACAATATCTAGGTAGATACGCAAAGTTCAATGTAAATGATCATAAGACTGCAGGCTTATTACGAATAAGCTGTGGAGATAAAACACAATTATTGCCTTAATGAATTCTTCCAGGTATTAGAAGAAAGGATAAAACATATCAGTTATATTCCGCCATCGCCGGAACCTTACTACTTAGTTACTGGGAATGAATGTCAGCCAAAGCCTTCCGGAGAAGAATGTGGGATAATCGTTTACCAATACACACCAATTAGTGCTGTAAATTACGTAAGTAATGTAGCAACAATTTTTGAGAATAATCATAATTATTTTCTGTAATAATATGAATCAGAGGACTGATACTGTTTGACTAAAATGTCAAAACGAATGACAATGTTAGGAAATAAATATATAAATTCGGCAACTTGACATTTTTTACAGCAGAGCTGCCACGTGAATCACCAGCGCGAGATTTAAATTCCAGTTTGTCAGCACGGCGCCGAATATGTCCATGATTGGCAACAATGAATTTAAAAATCGCGCCCTCGATTAAGTAACTAAATGTTTATTTGATATGAAATATAGTTTATTATTGGTTTTTACAAGGGGTGTGGTGTAATTTTTCGTAGAAATAGATTTGTCTGTCTTGGAACGGTTCTATCCTTTTTTAATCTGTCTATAATTAATGTTAATTTTTGACAATTTTTATGTCAATTTTTAGTAAATGATGGCTAGAGATTGACCTCGCCAAAATTATCATCGATTATCATTTCCAAGCCGTCTTTGACCTCGTTTTTTTCTGATTATATACGGTATTTACCTTTGGTTTATATCCTACTTTGCCAACATGTTGGCAAACAACAGGAAATATGGCCTGACGTATTGGGAAAACATGGAATAGGAAACGTAAATAGCAATGGTGAACGCTTATTAACAACATGCGCAGAGTATAATCTTTGCATCACCAATACGTGGTTCATGTTGAAGGACAAGTTTAAAGGTACCTGGAAACATCCTAGATCAGGCCACTGGCATCAATTGGATCACATAATCGTTCGAAGGACGCATCTAAAAGATGTTAGGCTCACAAACGTCAAAATAGATGCCGAATGCGGCATTGACCACCGACTTTTAATTTCAAAAATGAAAATCCAGTTAAAACCCAAACATCCACACTATAAAAAGCAAAACAACATGACCAGATTGAACGTACGGGGTCTAGAGAACAAAGATACCGCCGACGCCTTCCGGGAAGCCATCAAAGAATCACTTTCACCGATAACTTCAATCTCAATATTGGAAGCTGAACAAGGCCGGACACAATTAAGGGATGCGATTCATAAAACCAGTGAAGCAGTACTGGGAAAGTCGAACAAAAAGAAACAACCAGACTGGTTTAATGAAAATCAACCGCATATACAGACAGGCTTTGTTGGAACAAAGGCATAGAGCACATCAAGCAGTCACTGCAAATCCACATAATCCAAGACTGGTAGACAACTTTAAATCAGCCAACAACACGCTTCGAAGAGAACTGCGCCAAGTAAAGGATAGCTGGTGGTCACAAAAAGCGAATCAGATTTAAGAGTACGCCACGCATCACGATTATCGTAAATTCTTCGAGGCTGTAAAAGAAGTATACGGTCCAACTAAAAAGGTAAGCTGCCCAATCATGGCACAAAATGGCGAGCTTCTAAAAGAGGAAGAACAAGTCAGATATCGTTGGAAAGAACATTACAGTCATATCCTTAACCAAGAAAACAACCCCAATATAGAAGCACTAAACACAATACCTCAGTATAACAGCCTCGATGCATTAGACATCCCAATAACAGAACAGGAAATAAAGACTTCCATAAAATAGCTTAAAAACAACAAATCAGCTGGCTGTGACGCGATTCCGGCGGAAATCTATAAGCGTGCAAGTAAAGACCTTATTGGTCATCTTAAGGCTCTCTTCGATGTCGTATGGGAAAGCGGAGAGGTACCTCAGGACTTTCGCAACGCGAACATAGTGAATATATTTAAGAACAAAGGAAGTGCATCATATCGGCGGAAAAATTCTTGCAAAAATAATGTCAAACCGTCTGCACCCATATATAGAAAAAATCCTTCCAGAATCGCAAACGGGTTTTCGTACCAACCGCGGCACCGTCGATTCCATATTTTCCATCCGTCAACTACAGGAAAAAGTAAAAGAGCATCAGTCTAAACTTTATGTTGCATTCATCGATCTAACAAAAGCCTTCGACTCTGTGAACAGAGATGCGCTTTGGGCAATTATGAAAAAGTTTGGAGCACCCAACAAATTTCTTACAGTGTGTAAAAGCCTCCATAACAACAAGTCAAGAGTGTCAATCACATCATGGATCACTGAGCGACCCATTCCTAACAAATACAGAAGTTAGGCAGGGATGTGTCTTAGCGCCTCTCCTATTCAACATATTCATGGCAGCGCTCTCCATTATAGTGGACAGCAAACTGCAGGAGAGAGGATAGGGCATTAGATACAGATATGACGGCGGCGGCGGTCTGTTCACCATAAAAAGACTCAGGGCAAAAACACGTACAAAATTTATCACAGAACTTCAATACGCTGACGACTGCGCTCTAGTTGCAAACACGGTACAACAATTAGAAGAAATGTTGAACACATATACCTGGGCATACGAGGCTTTGGGCCTCAAGCTAAACATCGGCAAAACTAAAATCATGTGCACTCCCTCGGCAGATCACAACAATGCTATAAAAATCGGAGAAGTACTATTGGAATATGTGGCGGAATTCAATTACCTTGGCAGTTTGATTTCGGAAAGGGCCAATATTGACTCTGAAATTCAGCACAGGATTAGTAGCGCCTCAAGAGCATTCTGGAAATTAAAAGACAGGGTTTTCTACAATCATGACTTGAGTACAAAAACAAAACTTGCAGTGTACCGAGCAATTATAATCCCCACCATATTATATGGGAGCGAAACCTGGGTGCCGTACCGCCGACAAATGAACGCATTAAACAAGTTGCAACAGAGACACCTTAGACAACTCTTAAGAGTCCGGTGGTTCCATCACGTCTCAAACCTATCGGTCCTTGAAAGAGCTAACTGCGAGAGTATTGAAGTCATGGTCACAAAATCCCGCTTAAGATGGGCTGGTCACGTATGCAGAATGCAAGAAAACCGCATACCAAAATATCTGCTTTACGGTGAGCTTGTAAACGGTAAGAGGAGGCCGAGTGGACAACTGAAAAGGTACAAGGACATTTTCCACGAAAATTTAAATTCTCCACGAAAATTTAGATTCATGGAATTAACATGCAGAATGAGTGGGAAAAAGCAGCTCACAATAGAACTCAATGGAGAAGGGTTGTAAACTCAGTTAACAGCGGCAACCAAAAAGTAAAGAGGCAACAAAGCAATGAGATTTTTAAATGTCCGGAGTGCGGTAGGCAAATAACATCACGTATCGGGCTTTTCAGTCACAGAAAAGCTCATAACTCCTTGCGTGACTATCTTCTTTATGTGTGTCGAATAGTCGTCAGCGAGTAACGGCTGTATGTTTGGTATGGTATCCTACTTTATAAAAGCTTTACTAGTCTGACTAAATAAACCATTTTTTACCTTATTTTGCTGTTATCAGGCGCGGTCTAAATAGCTTTTGTTAAATCATAGTTATAAAGTAATTTGTAAGCTTTTAGAACTTTCGCAGTTCGCAGTTCTATTTATTACAATGGAAAGTTCATGTTCCTTACAAGAAAATGAGTAATAATTCATATTTCTAAGTTTAAATAACGGATCCCAGTAAACCATTAATGCTAAAAATAGTTTCTAGGTATTTTGTAAAAGACAAGGTGCATGATTGCACGATCAAATACATTTTCTTCAAATTTATTTTATTTTTTTTATTTTAGTTACTTTTTTTTCTTTTAATCTAATTTATTTTTGGAAACAAAAATAAATTAATTATAAATATATAAACGGTTATTATATACATCAACAAAACTCATCTTTACAGCACTTAAATGGCATAAGTAACGGCCCTTATTAGTACCGCTTTCCCGTAAATTATTCTAATAAAGTTGCGATGAGTTTTTTACGGTTATTAAGCTATCTTGTACCACTTCTCACTAAAAGAGGTTCTAAAAAGAACAATGTTCGACTGCAAGGCCAGCTAGTAAAAAATTTCAAGCTTAAAGTATCAGAACACTATTTATTTAAACCAACTAAACTAAAGTCATAGGTGTGGTCATAGATAACCTTTAGATTGCCCACTCCCCAAGAACAGTTAACCTAATAGGACTGCTCATTCAGCCAAAAGTGTCAGCCAGGTGCATGCGAAAACTGCTCGCTTTGTGACGTCATTGTAGTCCTTGTCATGGTTATTAGTCCTTATCCAGCAACCAATAATACACACACGTGCATTATTGCAAAACGTTCATTATTTAGTTTATTTATTTAAACACCTTATATGTATGCAGTATTGAAAATTAACTGTATAAATCTTATTAAATACTCGGATAATGCATTTTTAAGAACTGCAGTTCCCAGCATCACCTTTTTCAGGCATTCTTTTTAGAGTACTTCCATATTTTGCTTTAAAATAATTAATAAACAATATCGTAGACACTTAGTAAGCACTTTGTCACAATCCAGAACACAAAATGGACGTATTTAAACACTCTATAGCTCTAAAAACTTTAAAAACACCTTTTTCACATTTAAAATTGACAAAATAATTAACTCAAAATTTCTCAGCTGTTATTTTTATAAGTTTACCATAGGCAACTAATAAATACGCACTATCATGACAAGGACTACAATGACATCACAACTGTCAGCTGAAGCGCGGGAAGAGGCGAACGGACGTCTTATGAGGATGAGCAATCCTATTAGTTTACCATTCTTGACCACTCCCATGTTATTGAAGGAGCCCTTTGGGAGCCGTATTTTAGCGCCATCTAGTAGGATAAGAAACAGTTTTTTGCACGTTAAAGAAACCTGCATTACCGACATCATAAACCGCCTTTATTTGAATCGCAGTTCTTTCAATTTTTAGAGTCAAAATTCAACTATTAAGCTATAAGTTCTAGTTAAACCTAAGTTTTGTCTTTAAATTAAAAGATAAAACTTAAAATTAACTAGAGCTAGTAGCTTAAATTAATTTCTATTAAGAATAGTTAGTAAAACAACAAATATTTACATTAAAAAACATTTATTTAATAATGATTAGACTTAAATATACATTAAAATATACTGTTATTTCGAAATCTTAAAAAATATTTAATACTGCATGTAAAAAAACGCCGTATGGTAAAAAAAAACGGCGTCCAGTTGGCTGGGAAATGACGATCAATAACATTTCCCATATAAATTTACATGGAGAACAACAGCGACATTCATCATTTCATATACCATACCGACCATACCAATAGGTATGGTAGGCTATTAAGATCGGCAAAAAAAAAGTTTTTTTAATTTCACTCAAAATTGGTTTGGAGTTATTTGGGTCATAAATAACCTAAATACAAAATATTTTCTGTCTGTCTGTCTGTCCGTCTGTAACACGATAACTCAAAAACCGCTTAACCGATTTTAACCAAATTTGGCACAAAAATACTGTGGCACCCGAGAATCTGGCCATTAGTTTTTGGTGGGGATGGGGGGTTGGTAAGGGGGTATGGGAGGGAGTTAAAAATTTTTAAAAATCGTAACTCCAAAATTACAGTAGCTAGCGAAACGCGGTTTTCAAATTAAGATTAGGAATAATATCTGCAACAAAATTTGTAACAACATCAAAATCAGTCGTCGCAGTTTTCGAGATATTAACATATTTTAGTATGGGCGGCTATACGTGCCTCCCGGCGCCAATGTTTTTTTTCGATCATACGGTAGAAGTTTTATTTTTATCCGGATTAATGTCTGTATAAAACAAAAAACATTCACTGCATTTACAAACATTATACTTATTAGAATTTTATTTAGTTTAGTAGATCGAGCGTAGGGGGTAGTCGTTACCTTCTCTCATCCAACCTGTACCCTGATGACGAGAGCTTAAGGTTCGAGTCACGTTTCGAGTCAGGAAACTTGGCCAGGGCGATCAGGATCACGGCCAGTTACTACGAGCTACACCTTAGGGCCGACCTGTACACCAACAGGCACATGCAATGGTTCTATTTTAGGGTGTCCAATATGAAGAAAAATTCTCTTTACAGGTAAGAATAGCTATAATCCGTCCAACGATAAAATCCTTTGCATAGATAAAGAACATGACTACTACGAACTTAAACAGGCTTTATGGTATCATCATCATCATGTAGCCATCGTTGTCCACTGCTGAACGTAGGCCTCCTCCATATTTCTCCATGTCTCTCGATTTTGGGCCGTTATCATCCAATTTCCAGCAATCCTCTTTACATCATCTGTCCAGCGTGTCGGTGGTCTGCCTCTGCTACGTTTATCTGCTCGAGGTCGCCATTCTAACAATCTTCTAGTCCACCTGTCTTTAGATGTTCTCGCCACATGACCATTGTATTTTTTGTTTGTACTTTATGGTATATTCCATTTTATTTTAAATAAAATAAAGAGAAATTAAAACAACTTTGGTTGCACATCATAATACGACCACCAGCAAACTCCATAAGACGACGCATGGTGTCATTGATGACGTGCAACGAAAGTTGTTCTAATTTCCCTTTACAAACAAATTCACCAATAGGCTTTTGAGAAGAGACATGACTAATGTATCTGATTTAAACTTAATAATATAAGTTATAAAAATAGTAACAGCAACTTACCTACTGGAGAGGAGTCTCTATTTTCTCTATATGGGACAGGAAAGTCAATTAAAACACTAAATTAGCATCGCTTTTTAAAATTTAGATGCTTATCAAAACAAAGGGTAAATGCAATTTTTTTCTCTATTCTCTTCGCTATCAACAACATCAGATGCTGCTTCTCATTAATTTGGAGGTATACAACCAAATTCTGGAGTTGCTTATAAATCAATAAATACAATTTAATTTTTATATACTCCCCAGCACAAAAAGTTTGATGTTTCATAACTTTTTATTTTGTAATCTGATTTTTATGATTATGGTGAAGATAAATTTATTGCCATTATTTTTTATTATTTTAATGACTTATATTCTTCGGTTTTACAAGAGCTATGGCTACAGATGGAATCCCCGTTAATGCTAGCCATAGCTCTTGTAAAGTTTGTGGTGGAATAGGACGACGACGAACAGTTCTTTTAAGATCATCGCACAAATATTCGATTGGATTGAGGTCGGGATTACAAGGAGGCCCTTCCAATCTTCGTAGTCCCACCTCATCCAGGTATTCGTTAATTACTCGTACTCCTAACTCGTTACCCGGCGCAACGTGGGACCTGGCATTATCATGCATCAGTATAAACTGATTTCCAATGAAAGGAGCACATAGAACGACAACTTCTTGGAGGCCATTCTCAATATAACGGTAGGCATTGAGAAGATTGTAAAAATATCAGTACTTTATTTAAAAATGTGTAGCTCATAAAAGAATAGAGATAATAGGATAATTTAAAAAATGAAATGTTAGGAATTCCATCTAAATTACAGGAAAGTGTTTTTTTTATACAAAATGCCCCCCCAACCAAACCAAAACCAAAGTTTTGATTTACCTCGGTATAAACCCACCTAATCAAAATATAATAAACTAACACCATAATCATAAAAATCGATTTACAAATTCAAAAGTTATGAAACATCAAATTTAGTCAAAATTTTATGGTGGCCGGAATTTTGTGCCTGATTTTATATATTATGGAATGAGTTTGAATATTATGGAATGGTTATATTTGTTGGTATTTTTCTTACAGATTTTCAATAACCAATTGTTCAAAAGAAAGTAGTTTGTACAACGAAGGAATGAGACCGCTGATGTATTCGACTAAGGATTCTCAATTACATTCCATTGGATGGACGAGATGTGGAAGTAACATTTCCTATTTTTCCAACGATAACGTGTAAGTTGTTTAGATATATACTTCTTATAAGGCTTATGAAGAAAAGAACATTATCATACACAAATCGATTAAAATATTTTTAAAAATGTGGTTGTAGTATGATAGATCAAAATTGACAGTAGTGTCTTCCTTTGTGGAGGATAAGTAGGTAACTGAATTCTTCTAAGAATTTTGAAGCTGAAACAATTTAGAGTAAAAGTCACAGTAGGCTAGTTTTACCTCTTAAAATTTTAAAAAGGTCTTGAACATACTGTAAAGATCTTGGTATTATCACAAAACACTCCAATATATAGTCTATCAAATGAATAACTTTTTGACCGTTATTTTTTACCAACATGGTAAATATAAAATCCCTCTGTCAAAAAAGTTACTGATATTCTTTAAATTGAGTGCCTGAACGAATCATATAGGTAACTCTTTTTACTTTCGTGAAATAGAAAAGGAAAATAATAAAACAGGTGACAGTTCTTCATTTTCTTGCAAAAATCAACACGAAATGTCATAATTGACAAAAGTAAAATGTCATCAGCTTTTGACATTTCTCAATATTAGACCAATGCCGTGTCTAATAGAACAGCCACGGAGCGAGATTTATAACGTCACGCTAGTTAGATACTACGGATTAATAAATATGTTGTAGAATACATGGAAAACATAATTATTCCTCGTATTTTTGGTTTGTATTTTAAAAATGATATAGTTTACATGAAATATACATAATATACAGTTAATAAATACAATATAATATATACCTATTTATAGTAATAAATACTTTGGCAAATAAAACTATGAACCATACAAATACAGCAAATGTTTTACAATATACAAATGATGAATAGGCGGTGCATAAGATAATGGGTAAAATGCAGGGTTGTTAAGTAGTTTATGAAGCAAAAAACTACGCCAAAAGCTACGCGTAGTTTTTTGTATTAACTACGTTTTAAAATTTTAAAAACTACCTTCAAAAACTACACAAAAACTACGTTAAAAACTACCTACAAAAATATAGTAAAACATAAACAATTTAGACTTTAAACTAAAATCAAGCCAAATTCTTATCATGGAAGCTGATGGAAGTATGAAGTTATATTATATTTGTATAAGTTAAACAACATCAGAAAAAAAAGATTTTTTTTTCAACAAAAGTGTATTTTCTACGAAATACAAAGTAACATTGAACACAAAATAAACTATAAATTCTTATGGAGAAATTCTCCATAGACATTCTCCAGAGAATATATGATTTTTTACATCTAAAGGCACAACTTCATAATACCCCTCTTCCCAGAAGGTATGGAGCAAGGTATGGAGACATCGACGTCTTCCAAGCATTTTTAACTACTAATGAATATCAAAAATATCACATAATAAGGAACAAATTCACAAACTATAGATTTTTTATTTCTTTAAATTGATCAACAAACAAAGTTTTTAGGTTCTGTTTTCACTGTTATTTAAAAAAACTACATTAGTTACATAAACTACACATTTACTACTCGACATTTAAAAAAATACTTGTGACATGTAGTAAATGTAGTTTATTAATTACTACGTGTAGTTTAACAACTCTGGTAAAATGTAAAATATATTTTAAATTTTGGGGTTTGAAAATCGATCTAATTTAACAAAAAACATTCAATATCTACTAATAGCGATATATTATTATTTGCATTCATAAAATTTATTTATATATTATAATGTTTACTGCAATTATTAAACTAATATAAACTTGTCAAAAGATGACCACATATTTTTTTAAATTATTATTCTTAACACAAAAACTATCTACATTGACTATGGAGTACGATTTCAGCCATATCGTAAAACATTTGCTACATTTGTATGGTTCATAGTTTATCTGCCAAAGTATTTATTACTATAAATAGGTATGTTTTCCATGTATTCTTCAACATATTTATTAATCCGTAGTATCTAACTAGCATGATGTCATAAATCTCGCTCCGAGGCTGTTCTATTAGAGACGGCACTGTGTCAGCATGGCCGCAAGTTGCTAACCTAATAAAATTAACACTAGAAAAGCCCGCGAGAACTGTCAAATTCAAAGTTATTCGTTTTACAGACTATAGCATGTGAACTACAGTACATCTGCTGGATCTGTGTCTTTGAAAGGAATGCGGACAAAAAACATTTAAATAAACAGCAATATATTTTATACGTCGATTTGACGAGTGCGTCACCGCAAATCGCTCCGCCCACTCATTTTATTGGCTACTTGCAAATTTGTTGAATTTTTATTGATGGGACGCGTTGTCTATTTTTTTACGAAAAACATCGAGAGAATATCGTTTCCCCTCTCACTGATACCCCGTAGCTACAGAACGGACAGACGTACTGTACATATGTATTAAATACAATACAATGTTGTTTAACAAATATATATTTCCATGTTCTTAAATATAATTATTAAAGTCATTTAAAAGTACAAATATCTGATGGTAGTTTCGAATATTTTTTGAGATTATGAAATATCTTGTTTGAGTATCAATTGTGATTTTCCTGTACCAGGAAATTATAGTTCCAAATATGTTCATGCTAGAGTTTTCTTAAAATTTGACTATAAATCCATAGTTTTGATATCCGTTAGTTTTCCCACTTACACCAACTTTTTTGAACTAGCCAGCTAATGAACTCTATTCCATTAGTTACATTGATGACTTTGTATGTATTTGGTATTAATCATGTTGATATTTTCATTTCTGAATAGTTTTATTCCTTTAACGTATGCTTATATTTCATCTTCTTAAATCTTCTTTTTATTTGTTACTTTGTTCTTTAGTTTTCCTGATGACTTTGCCTTTAATTTTCATTTGATATCAATTATTATTCATTTCGAAACTTGGTCAAAGTCAGACATGTAGATTTTCAAAGTACCTAAAAATGGTTATTGTAAATACTTCATATAAAGTGCAATCATCTCTTATTTTACCATACATCCTTGGTTTCATTAGTTTTTCTAATTGTTTCATGCCTGAGATTAATGATTAAAAGTTATGTACGTTTTCATTTTTCCTTAAAGAACTTATTTTCAATCTTCATTAAAAACTCCATCTTTATAATAATTATGATTCTATTTAAACTACAAAAATAGTATAGTTCTACATATGTTACTATAGGTTATATGTAACGAAAATATCATCTACCTTGTGAGGTTGTTTCAGGTTTAAAATTATTTGTTACTGATTATGTTGCTGATGAGCTGATTTTTTTATTTAATCTTGATTCCTCCTTATACAGCAAAATAATGTTCTGAATATGCTGTTGTTGCTGGAAGCTCCCAAAAACCTCGTCTGCAGTGCTATAGTCCCTGTTTCTATAAGTTCTTCCGATTCAGTTCCGATTCCTTGTTCTTTATACAAATAAAGCACTTCAACATCCGATCGCACACCCGTAGGTTTATCCACGTTCTCTATTTTCTCATCACTGGTCTTCAGAATGGTCGAGTAATACCCGATCCCGTGATTCTGGACCTCAGGATACGTTCGCGACTTCTCCAACGATTTCAAATCTTCCTCCTTCTCAACGTTAGTTACGTTCTCGGTGCATTTCGTGCTGTTTTCAGGGCCGGATTTAGATAAATTCATTTGAACGATACGGGAATTTTGATGAGCGGATGACGTGAGGCGAAAATTTTGACAAATTCATGGTCCGGCGGCGCGGAATGACATGCGGGACGCTGACTGCCCACCTGTTGATTGCAGGTTTCTTTTTTTGTCTTGGCAACGAGCCGGTGCGTCGCGATTAGCGTATTTTTAAAGGGTGATGATGTTTTTGTGGGTGACGCAAATCGTAGCCGAGAGAGTTCGTCTGCGTTCAAGGTTGGAATAGTTTTTATTAAGGAGGTTGACCCTGAATTTGCCGCTTTGTATTTCTGGAATATCGAGATAAAATAGAGAAAGGTTTGAAGGTAATTTTGAAGCCGAAATAAAGAACAATTAGTTATTAATAATGAAAATATTTAATTATCAGGGAAGATTGTAGATTGTATTGGTGGGAAAAAGTTATTCACCGCGACCCTTTGAATAAGAAGACTAAGGAAGGAGCACATCAAAAATCTTAGGTACACCGCGATGGGCCTCAAATATGGCCGACTTAAATTCTGGTTTATCAGTGTCGTTCTAATTTTATTTAAAAAATGTAAAACTATGATGTAGGGTAGACGTGGGGTAGACTCAATAATTTGTTGTTTTATTTTACGTTGTGAATAAATGTTGGTAGTTATTAAAATTGATATAAAAATATATAATTCTAATAAAAATAGATAAGTTATAATAAGTATTTATTAACACAAACATCCGATACGCTACTGAAGCAGGTAAGTCAAATTAACGTATCTAAATTCTTTGACATCTAATCTTTGACAAGTAATAAATAAAAGCTAAAAATGCAAGAAAAATATATAATTTAGTTAATTTAAGTGAATTTCATATTTATGAAATTCACTTAAATTAATACGTGTAGTAAACCGATCATTTGATCGGTTTACTACACGTATGTATATTATATAGTCACTTACTAGCGAAAAGTTGTTCCATTATTTCACTCAATTTTTGCCGAGATCTACCGCACGCTACACAACCAACTATTTTAGAGTCTTTTTCGATAAATCGCGATAGTATCACTGTTAATTTAAGTTCTGCCACAATTTCCATCTAGATTTACTACCTTTATACAACTATCAGTAGTAGAATAAATAATAAATAACATAAAATAAGCTCCGTAAAGACTGACAAATCCACAAAATTTCAAATCAAATTCAAATGTGTCAAATGAATCGTCAAACAGAACTGTCAAGGATCCCCACCCTAGAGAGCTTTTATGGTGGCTTTTCCGCCCACCATGCATGAATACATGGATAGCATTATGCTCCTTCCTTAGTCTTCTTATTCAAAGACCGCGACCTTATAGATTGTGTCCCCTTTTCTTCAGTTATAACTCGTTATACAGTCTCAGGGCTTAACCGCCTCAGATTCTGAGGCGGTTTTACAGAGGTTTGTTTATGGAACGAATGGTTGTCGTCTCGGCGCACTCAGTGATGAGGTGTTCTGGTGAAGATGGTTGTATTTGTATTTGACTAAGAGTGGGTCCCATGGGACCCTCCACTGCGGCCGCGAGGGCCTATTGTGGCTCAGTTTCTAAAAGCTCTTTATAAAAGGAGCGTTAAAGTTCACCCTCTAGACCCAGCCTTTTAACATAGGCCGTTATGTCCGAGGGTGATATGTCTCCCAGGTCTGATAGATCTAGCATGGGTTTGCCAAACATCTCAAACCTGGTAATGGTCCTGCTCCCAGCGGGGCAGGTACATCTAGCATGGGTTTACCAAACATCTCAAACCTGGTCCTGGTCCTGCTCCCAGCGGGGCAGGTACAGTACGTCTGTCCGTTCTGTAGCTACGGGGTATCCGTGAGAGAGGAAACGATATTCTCTCGATGTTTTTCGTAAAAAATTAGACGACGCCTCCCATCAATAAAAATTCGACAAATTTGCAAGTAGCCAATAAAATGAGTGGGCGGAGCGATTTGCGGTGATGTACTCGTCAAGTCGACGTATACAATATATTGCTGTTTATTTAAATGTTTTTTGTCCGCATTCCTTTCATAAACACAGATCCAGCAGACGTACTGTACACATAACGTGCTTCATTGTTTCGTCATCCAGAGTCGGCATTCGGCGTCTTCCACCAGTCCCATCCTCTGTATGTGTGATATCAGTCGACAGTGGCCCGTGTATGGGAGTGACAGTGAGTGTACGGCGCTCCATTCCTACCAGCCTTAAGGAGTTCTCCTGTTCTATGTTTGGATGACCCTGCTAAGATTTTCTTGGCATGTTCCATACCGGGACTGTCATTCCAGTCCCGGAACGTCGCACTCCTAACCCATTCGCAGAGCCTTCTCTTGCGAGATTTTTTGGAACGCTAAGTGTCGGTTCTGGGCCCACGAATGGCGAGCCTGCACTAATTTTGGCGAGGGAATCAGCACGTTCATTTCCCTCTAGGCCGACATGTCCCAGTATCCATATTAGCGACACTTTGTTCCTATTTCCTAATATATTGAGTAGTTTCTTACAATGAAGAATCGTCATAGACGTGCTTTTTGTTGTCTCAAGTGCTTTCAACGCGGCTTGACTATCCGAAAATATGCCTACATATTGTTTTCCCGTATTGCCGTTCTACCAGCATTTGCACACAGGTTTCAATAGCATATAGCTCAGCTTGGACAATGGTGGTGTGTTTTCCAAGACTGTGATAGATCTCGGCCTTTGGACTGCTGCAGTAAATTCCTGCGCCAGATCCTTTTTCGTTTTTGGATCCGTCGGTGTACCAACACATTTCCGCATGTAATAAACCGTTTCTCGACTTATCCCATTTGTCCCTATTCGGAAACAGGACGTTGTAGGTGCGAGTCAAGAGTTGGACTGGTGATGTGAGATACGAAACCATTCCTAAAATCTCATCCGACTGTAGTTCGTCTACTAGTCGGTTTTGTGTGAACATGATTGTTCCTTGGCTTTCTCGTGCCAGATTTAGAAATCTATATGTAGCCCATCTCGCCTCTCTTTCCAAAATAATTTGACGGCGTGGAATGGAAGGCACCAGTCACCGTTAAGCATGCTTATTGTTGTAGTTTCGAAAATGTATTCTGTGCCGTTGTTTGGTTGGCTTTCTGCCACCAGGCAACTGCACCACACGTGAAATAGGTCTGATGGCTGTCACGTATAGCCAGTACATATTTTTGGGGTTTAATCCCCAGTTTCTACCATAAATTCGACGGCATGCCCATAGAGCATAGACAGCCAGGTGGAGATGGTTACGCAGGGCGTTTCCTTTCATAACCTTTTTGGTGACTGAATACGTGATGTTATCTCTCTTCCGCACCTGTGATATTCAAAAATTTCATTACTTTGTTGCATCTTTACTTTTTGGTTGTCATTGTTAACTGAGTCTACAATTCTTCTCCATTGCATTCTATTGTGAGGTGCTTCCTCCCAATGATTCTGCATGCCTATTCCCTTTAAGTTTTTATGGAAAATATTCTTGTATCTTTTGAGTTTTCCACTCAGTTTTCTCTTATCATCTACAAGCTCACCGTAAAGAAAAGATTTCGATTTTCGGTTTTCTTGCATCCTGCATGCGTGACCAGCTTATCTTAAAAAGGATTTAGTAATCATAACTTCAGTGCTCTCTCAGCTAGCTTTCTCAAGGACCGATACGTTTGAGACATGGTGATACCGTTTGATTCTTAAAAATTGTCTAAGGTGCCTCTGTTGCAACTTGTTTAATGCGTTCATGCGGACGAGACCCAGGTTTCGCTTCCATATATCATAGTGGGGATTATTATTGCTTGGTATACAGCAAGTTTCGTTTTTGCGCTCAAGTCACGATTGCAGGAAACCCTGTCTTTTAATTTCCAGAATGCTCTTAAGGCACTGCTAATTCTGTGCTGAATTTCAGAGTCGATATTGGCCATTTCCGAAATCAAACTGCCGAGGTAATTGAATTCCGAGGTTATTTTAACAGGAACTTCAGTAGATTGAAGCTAAGAAAAAACAGCGAATGCACATTCTGCGGAAACTGTGATACTTAATAATATTTGGCATTAGTTTTCAAGTTAACATTTATAGATGTATAAAATGAGATTATATCAAGTCTGGAAATTACAAAATTTTCGCTTAACATTTCATATAATCAAAACTTCAGAATTCGGAAACGGTTGAATTTAGGTACATTATGTGTATTACGATTATTGCTTAAAATTGAAGGAAGAATTGAAATATGCAATAATAGACAGGGGCTTGCATTAAAAAAAATAAATTTGATGTGCCACAACTTCATGGCCGACTCTGTATACTTAAATTGACTACTAGCTACTAGACATTTAAAAACCCTATAACTTTTATATTTAACTTTTTGCGGTACCTTGTATATTTTACCTAATAATCGACTGTTCCCATACATATATCAGCGACGTATAAAATGTACGAGAATTATTGAAAAAATGTGAGAGCCTATTGAAAATAAGCTCACCCAAGCTTCAGCCGGTTGAATCGGAAGTGGCTGACAGTTTGCTTATTTTGCCAGAAAGTAGAGTAAAAGCAAGTATCTACGTAATTTATTTTAATAACTTTTTTAATTTAAAACAGTGAAAACAATACAAGAATACATTATACTACATATTATTTATTTTCGTGTTTTCCGCTGTCCAAAAGATGGATAGGTTTATATAATTTCTGCCCACTAGTGTATGTGTAATTGGCATTTTAATATCTTCTGGCATTACTCTTAACATGTTTAATGGATGTATTTTTGCCAAAAACATAAACTATGTCAAATTTATCGAAACGCGCATAGTTAATTTCAAAAGTGTGCGTACAAGTCAGTGTAAATAATAATCCACCTTTTATAAAATTTACCATTAGACATAAATAAAATTATAGGTATATGCTTACTAATCAGGGTTCGGAAGTAGTTACTTAAGACGTAATTTACCTATTTAAAAAACTCCTATGGGTATTTCGCCACTATTTTTTTTTTGTAATTTACCTGATTAACTACATGTAGTTTTTTTTTCTCAAACACTACGTCTTCTCCCTTTTATTACCTACATGAAAACTACTTTAATAAACTACATATTGATATTACGATAGAAAAACCATCCTATAAATAAAAATGTTAATTTTGATAGAAACATGTAATCTATAGGCTTTTTATTTAATTAAAGAATTATAAATTTATAAAAAACAGATCATAATGGATAACACAATTTATTAAAATTATAATAAATAAAATAATATGAAAACTCAAAAGATTTTAACACAATCAAAGTACAAATATAAAATATCTTATAAGATTTTAATCACCTAGTTATTGAAGGATTAGTAATTTTTGTCAAGACATAGTAGAAAGTATTTTTCAACCTGGTTTATAATATGGTAGTCAGTTTAATAATTTCCCGTTGTATGAGGGCTCTAAATAATATGATGTGAATGTTTGGGTGTAATATGTATTTTCTAAAACCTCGCCTCAAACCTGCCACAAACCTTTGTTATTTGAAAGTTACATAAACTACATAAACATGGCAAATATAAAATCCCTCTGTCAAAAAAGTTACTGATATTCTCTAAATTGAGTGCCTGAACGAATCAGATAGGTAACTCTTTTTACTTTTGTGAAATAGAAAAGGAAAATAATAAAACAAGTGACAGTTCTTCCTTTTCTTGCAAAAATCAACACGAAATGTCTTAATGTCAAAAGTAAAATGTCATCAGCTTTTGACATTTCTAAATATCAGACCAATGCCGTCTCTAATAGAATAGCTATGAAGCGAGATTTATGACGTCACGCTAGTTAGATACTACGGATTAATAAATATGTTGTAGAATACATGGAAAAAATAATTATTCCTCGTATTTTTGGTTTGTATTTTAAATATATATATATATATATATATACCACCTATTTATGGTAATAAATACTTTGGGGCAAATAAACTATACTGAACCATACAAATGCAGCAAAGGTTTTACAATATGCAAATAATGAATCGGTATATAAGATAATGGGTAAAATGTAAAATATATTTTAAATTTTGGGGTTTTAAAGTCGATCTAATTTAACAAAAACATTCAATATCTACTAATAGTGATGTATTATTATTTGCATTCACAAAATTTATATGTATATTTTGCAAGTATCAATGTTCGAAAAATTATATTTGCAAATAATACAATATCATAGAAAAAAGGGCGTCAGTGATGGCTATGAAATCAAGATCGCTGTCATTTTATCGCTGTCATTGGCTGTTCTATTAGAGACGGCATTGCGTCAACATGGCCGCAAGTTGCTAACCTAATAAAATTAACACTAGAAAAGCCCGCGGGAACTGTCAAATTCAAAGTTATTCGTTTCACAGACTATACTAATGATGTGTGATAGAGCTGCAAGCCCACAGAAAACTTAAGTCTTTTTTTTATTTAAATCATTCTAATGGCTTAAGCTTCCTTCAGAACCTCGAAATTAGTGGAATAAATTTGTGTGGTTTCTGGTACACTTTATACTTTTTAGTTTACGATCATTCGCAATGTCTTAAAAACACCATCCATAGAGAAAGCCCAATATTTAGTTTATAAAACAATAAACTTTTGATTTCAAACCACAATTTCTCTTGACGGGCGCTAATCAAAGGCCAAAATTACATTCCTCGCAAAATTTAAGTATAATTAGTGCAAAAGTTAAAAGTGTGTTAACTAGTTAAAAGTGTATTTCCACTAATTGAAAATTACTACCACTAATTTTGATGTTGTGAATGCTTACTTAGTTCTACGCTAATTGAAACCAATAATTTATTCCACTAATTTTGAGGTTCGAAATAAAGCTTTAAGTCATTTGATTTTAAGTCATTGTTCGAAAGCTGACTTGAAAAACTTGGTTTATTGCAATTCTCACTGCTAATTCTCAAAAGAATCGTCTTAGTATCGTATTATTGCTAATTGAATTTCAGGACATATTATGTAAAATCTTCATTTTTTTAGAACTTCAGAGGACCCTGACCAACCTCAGACTTATACGTTAACATTTACAGTAACGTTTCCACATGAAGATGATGAAGTTTATCTGGCTCATTGTTATCCCTACACGTATTCTGATCTACAAGTAAGTCTAAAAATAAGTTTTATCTTTCTATAATACTCAAAAGAAACTAATACTTCAATACATTTTTTAATCACGTGATTAAAAGTTTATTTGGTATGATCTATAGGTAGGTATATGATTTCAATAAATATTATATGTACCGTGTGTGACTATTTTTTTTGATCCCGAGTGCTTTTCAAAAAATAATAATAATAATAGCTCCCGTATATAGCGTTTAACGCCTTGGGAGTAGCTATACTAGAGCCGTTCGGTATACAAGGAAGGTAATGTGGCTAGCACTACGCTTCAACCGCCTATTATTACCTCAGGATTGTGAATCCCAAGTACTCATTTAAGGCTGAGTCGACCTAGGTACCAAAACTATTTTTATTTTAACAAAAATAGTTGGCTGATAAAATGCCGTGTGTGGGATTCGAACCCACTACCTTCAGATTGGTAGACGAGAACCTGTACCTCTACGCCACCGAGCACCTTTTTTTTCTTTTTTTCAAAAAATATTCTAATGTTATTTCCCATGACAATTGCTTATCTACCATTAGTTAATTAATGGGAGAACAAACAAGTGCCCAAAGGATCCTAAATAACGGTTTACCACAGGGCTCCGTCCTGGCCCCATTGCTGTTCAGCTTGTATATCGCTGATATGCCTCACACATTCTCCAGGAAGTTTGGATATGCAGACGATTGGGTCTTAGCGACGCAGCATAAGAACTTTGAGGTAATGGAGGCAACTTTGTCGTCTGACTTGGTGACCTTAAGTACATATTTCCGTAAATGGAGACTGCAACCAAACCCTACAAAAACCGAAGCGACATGCTTCCATCTCTGTAATAAATCGGCAGGCAGACGACTTGACGTCCGTTTCGAAGGAAATCGACTCCAACATAATTAGTATCCAAAGTATCTTGGAGTCACATTGGACAGAACGCTCACCTATAAGCGGCATCTGGAAAACACTGCAGCCAAATTAAAGACGAGGAATAATATCCTTCACAAGTTGTGTGGTACTACCTTGGAATCCTCGGCTGACACGCTCCATACATCAGCTCTTGGACTGGTTTACTCAACAGCAGAATACTGCGCCCCGGTCTGGATGAATAGCGTTCATACGAAGAAAGTCGACGTGCAGCTGAATAACACGATGCGAATTGTCAGCGGGACTATAAGAACAACCCCAACACATTTTCTGCCTATCCTGAGTCATATTCCACCTGCGCATCTGCGTCGGAGCAATGCTCTCCTCCGGGAGTACAGGAAGGCAAACAACAACCCCCAGCTCCCTATACATCGTGACATACCTGACTTGGAGATGGATAGGCTTCGATCCAGACACCCAACAATGATAATAGCCAAGGAATTACATAACATGGGCTTCAGTCTAGTGGAGTCCTGGAAAGAACAATGGCGAGAGACATGTCCTGAGCACCGTCAAGCCCTCCCCTGCATCACCAAAAAACCGCCTGGGTACCAGCTGCCTCGCAAAACATGGTCATCCCTCAACAGAATACACACGAAAGATGTGCAGACTCTCTTCACAGATGGGGTAAGATACCATCACCCAGGTGCGACTGTGGAGCCGACAGACAAACCGTACGAAACATAGTGGAGGAGTGCGAGATAAGAGCTTACGGTGGAAACTACTCCGATTTCCTGACTGCTGATGACGCTGCAATAGACTATATACGTAATCTTGACGTTTGTATTTAATCTCACTGTATTTGTCTCCTGTTGCGCGTATTTTGTTTGTGATATACCGTGTTCTTTTTATATTTATATATTTTATATCTTTTTGTATTGTTTATATTTTTACGTGTATTATTTTGTAATATCTGTTAAATGATGTGCTTGCTATACGATAAGTAAATAAATCTACCATTAAATAATGCAAATCAAAGGACTTTTCAATCATATTGTATTATAATTTATCACCCAAAAATGTATATATATATATATATAAATTTTAATTGTTCTGTCATAGACATATTTTGTATATTACGCAAATTATACTGGTATAGCTAATTATTTATAGATTAATCTAAACTAGAACGGAATAGGACTGTTACACGTAATATTGGCATAAACAATAAATCACATTTTAAACTTTTGCCATTTATTCAATAATTTTCTAAAGTTAGTTTGCCAAGCGTAGCGACCTATAAATATATTTTTTAGTTTTCCAAGGATTTTCCAGAGGAAGGACAAAACGAAGTATATTTCCCGAGATATTTTGTAATAAATTATGTAGACTTAGCGTTTGACAAGGGCTTCAAATATATCTTTGTCAAGAATTTTAGTTAATACTTCTACGCTTACTGTGACGTCGTTTCTTTTTTTGATTGTGTGGTATGTTTGCACTGTACAGGGTGGGCCAAATTGGACGTTCTTAAAGGGAAACACCCTTTTCTATAGGAGACATAACCGCTAAATACTTCTAATTCTTGTCTAGATTATACGGGCAATATAAAAATAAGAACCTTTCTTCTTCCGCAAAGATAAAAATCCATCAGCAGATCATCAATAAGGGGTCCAAACAAACTAGTTAAAAGTGGCAAACTTAAAAATTCTGTAATAACAAAATATCAAGTGTGCTATATTTTTGGAAAGGTAATTTTAAGCCCCTTTCAGTTAATTAAAAATATACAGGGTGTCCCAAATAAAAAATCAAATTTTCTGTTGATAACTCTTAAATTATTATTTTAAAAGAAATTATACTTAAACCATTAAATTCTACTTAAAAAGGTGCTTTGGAAATATTTTCATAAAAATACAAAATTTTCCATAGCAAAAAAGTTACAGCGATTTGTTAAAAATGCACAGTGTGAGGTTTTCACCATCATGTTTTTGATAAAAATTGAGCTCCAGACACCGATATTAGTTTTTGCCTATGTCGTTTAGAGAAGAGTGTTTCTCTTTAAAAGCGACCAATTTTATCCACCCTGGACATCAACAGAATCAACATGTGGTTTCTATCTTGGCTCAGTTCAAACAACACATTCAAAAATGTTGACGTAATAAAGTGTTTACCAATACTTCCTGTGACATCACGATAAAAATCTATATAAAAATCAAACGCAATATATTATTGTTTTGGAGGTTATATGCGTGATTTTCCGCTAAGTGCCAATTAAACATTTTTAGTGAAAATTGTTGGAGGCAGGCCAATTTTACTATCCACCTGCGCCTTTCATTTATTATTTTCCTAGTAAATCAATTTGATCTACAACTATCCGGAAAAAATAATTTTTATGAAAGTAAAATTCAGTTATCTTTGTAACGATATAAACAAACTAATCAGAGAAGAAAACACTCAATCAGAAAACAACAACAACACAGAGACATTATAACATTGATAGACTGAGGGAACCAGCAGTTGCAGACAGAATGAAATTCGAATTAACAGAACTATGGGCAAGTAATAACAACAATCACGGACTTAACGATAGTCCAGATGACATATGGAACAACATAAAACAAAACATTCTGACTGTTTCCAATGCTTTTCTGACACCAACAACAACAAAGAAAAACAAACCATGGATGACCGATGAGATACTCTCCCTCATGGAGGACAGAAGAATTGGAAAAGTCGAACAACAACAACAAAGATACACCGAAATAAATAAAACTATTAAACAACAATGCCAACAAGCTAAAGAGAACTGGGTAACTGCAGAATGCCAAGAGGCGGAACGCATGCATGCTCTGCACGACTTTGTAAATTTTCATAGAAAACTCAAACAAATTACTGGCATCACAAAAAAGCACCTGCCCTAAAACACAATGGGAAATTGATTTTAGACCCGGTAGATCTGTGCAGCACATGGAAAAGCTATGCACAATTATTATTTGAAGACCAAAGAGAAGACAGACAACCTCTCAATTGTGAAGACTGGTCGGGCCCGGAAATTCTTGAATCTGAAGTTCAGCATGCTATGAAAGCTATGAAAAATCGAAAAAGCCCCGGTCATGACAACGTGCATGCAGAAGTTCTTAAAATATTTGACTCAAAGCATCTCACATATCTATTCAATCGAATATACGATACGGGTAAAATTCCAAACAACTGGCAAAAATTAACTTTTATAACAATTCCCAAAAAGGCATCTCCAAAAGACTGTAGTGACTACAGACTTATAAGTCTAATGAGTCATGCTCTGAAACTTTTTTTTCGAGTCATGCATGCTCGTATATACTCGAAATGTGAAGAAAAAAGACACAGAGAGACACAGTTCGGCTTCATCAAGGGGCTGGGTACCAGAGAGGCTTTGTTTTCAATCAAGCTACTAATCCAGAAATGTTATGATCAACGCCAAGATGTTTTTGTGTGCTTCATAGATTATCAGAAGGTTTTCGACAATGTTAAACACGATATTCTCCTAAACAGACTGCTCGAGATAGGAATAGACGCCAAAGACATTAGAATCATACAGGAACTATATTGGAACCAAATCGCGGAGATAAGAGTTAACAAAAATTTATCCACAGACACCTTCAATGTGTGTCAAGGAGTCCACCAGGGCTGTATACTGTCAGCAATACTTTTTAATATATACGTAAATATCGAAAAGATATTTCAAATGGCCCTGGAAGGAGAAAGTGGAGGAATTAAGATTAACGGAGTTCCAATTAACAATATAAGATATGCAGATGATACGGCAATACTAGCACCAACTTTAGAGGATTTCCAGCAAATAATAAATAAGATAGGGGACATGGGAAATCGTTTCGGTCTTAAAATCAACGCTGCCAAGACCAAACTTATGGTAATAGGACGCCAGCCTACAATCAACACCGCATTGACCGTGGATGGAAATATTATAGAGCGAGTTCCACGATTTAAATATCTGGGTGCCATGATCAATGAACGATGGGACTGCGATGAGGAAGTTAAACTTAGAACGAATTATGCAAAGTCAACATTTTTTAAACTTAAAAACTTCCTATTAACACGCAGTCTCCCGCTAACACTTAGACTACGGGTAGTAAAATACTACATATGGCCTATCTTACTGTACGGCGCAGAAACCTGGTCTCTCAAGGCTAGAACCCTGAACCGCATCGAGGCTTTCGAAATGTGGACTCTCCGGAGACTCTTACGTGTGCCATGGACCGCACATGCCACCAACGAAGAAGTTTTAAGAACTGCAGGCTATGAACGAGAAATGCTTAACATAGTTAAAGAAAGGAAAGTCTCATACCTCGGACATATCCTTAGAGGAGATAAATATTACATTCCTAAGCTGATTCTACAAGGAAAAATAGAGGGACGGCGAGGCCCAGGAAGAAAACAACATTCCTGACTAAGAAACATACGGGATTGGTGTAACATCAGCGACGCAGCCACCATATTTCGAAGAGCCGAAAACGGCAGTCTACACATTGTATGAAGAGTACAGACAATCGCCAACGTGCGGCTAAGCACAAGGCACAGGAAGAAGAAGAATCAGAGAAGCGAAATAACGTCTAAGCTTTGAATAAAAAAGATTAAGAGTCCATTTCACTAGTCCGAAAAAGTAGCAAAATAAGCGTTCGGCATTTAACCTTTTATATAAAACTGGCTATGTATTTTTACACAAATGAAGAAGGAAATTAAAAAAAATAAAAAAATGTTTGAGTCTGGCCTGCATTTGATATGCTCCTTCCTTAATTTTTTTATTCAAAGCCAAATTTAGCAATTTAAATTTTTAAAAAAGTGGAATAAAGAATTACAATGATTTTCTTTAAATCTATTTCAGGAACATCTCGCCGAGATCCGATCACATCCGGTAAAACAGACGTACAGTACTGTAAGACTACTCTGCAGGACATTGGCTGGAAATGACGTTTATTTTGTTACTATTACATCTCCACAAGTGCCAGGTGAACCAAAGGTAATATGGTTTCATTATAGAAAACCGAAATATAAATGAAACTTCTACACCCTGTATCTCCGAAACTAAGCATTTTAGAACATACATTTATACGAACTTTTTCACTTATTTTTATCTACAGAATATGCTTCCGAAGTTTCCCGAATGCAGTTCGGGCCACCCTGTATAACAATTTGTAATAAAGTTGTTGAATAGGTGCCTTCCATAGACACTAACCAAAATAACTGACTTTGTTTTAATTCATAATTTTGTTTTTTTTTTCCTTTTTTTTTGTTTCATGTTTTTGGTGGTATTTACTTTACTTCAACAATTTCCTTTAGAAAAAAAGAGCTGTTGTCATCACGGCCAGAGTCCATCCAGGCGAAACCCCCTCCTCCTGGATCATGAAAGGCATCCTGGACTTCCTGACCGGTGACTCGGCACCCGCCAAAGATCTCAGGGATAAGTTCATTTTCAAGATAGTTCCTATGCTGAATCCCGACGGTGTGATAGTCGGGAACAACAGGTGCTCGTTGTCTGCCAGGGACCTCAACAGACAATACAGGACCGTCATGAGGGACGCCTACCCCTCCATTTGGTATACGAAACTAATGGTAAGAAGGTAGGTATGTCATGTTTATTGAAAAAATAACATTCAATTTCTTCTTCTTCTTTTACTTATTTGAGATCTTTCGATCTGTTAATTTTAAGGTTGCCTCTGTAGGAGTTCTTGGGAGGTGGACTGCCAACTGTCTTTCCATCTTTTTGCAGGTCTTCCAAATTGTGTGTCCAAATTTTGACAAGTTTTCAAAAATGACAGTTTTGTTTAGACTGACGTTTAATTTCACTTGACTTCTCGGTGAATGATTTCTTTTTATGGGGGTACATAACATCTAAAATTTACGGCCATGAAGAAATTCAAAACTTGGAGCAGTTAAGGCAGAAAATATTTAATGCCTTTGACACTGTCACCACTGATATGTTATCCAATGTGAGGAGGGGATTTTATGATCGTTTGGGTTATTGTTTAATGCAAGAGGGAGGCACTTTTGAACAATTTTTGTAATTTTTGAAATTTCATTATCCTGTTTTTTTGCCGTTTACCCATTACCTACCTTGACGAACATGAGAAAACGAAGGTCCTTTTCAGGACCACAAATATTTTGATTGAGAAAATTGGTAACTTTTTTTTGGATTAAAAATCAAAAGTTGTTAATATAATATCAATTTAAAAGTGTTTTAGTAGTTTTAATACACACCATGATATAAAATTTATTATTATTATAATGTACATTATTAATACTATTGTTCATTCGAAATGGCAATAAGGCCCAATTGCAACAATGATTTAAATTTTTCTTAAAGATAAGTAGAGCTTAGAATGAGCTTTATTTATATTTACTTTAATATTCACCTTAAATGAGGGAATTTGACTGATACAATTTTTGAATTTGAATTGTTTTTAATGATACTAACAATTTTAGTTCAATTTTTAATAAGATTTATTTAATATTAATAGAAATCCAAGAGATTTGAAACCTCTTTTAGCGATTTATAACATTCTCAAATGAATTACAGGTGCCCTTATTTTCTATGAAAATCACACAGCTTTTTTCATAGTCACTGCACTTGCTATAGCTATAAAAAACTAATTTTTTAAGGTGTGAAAATTGCGACACACACTAAATGGACTTGATTTTTCATATGTCTCGAAGTCTGTGGACCTTTTTGTATGCCTCGATAACATATTGGTGCAGATTATTTTCACCCAAACAAATAATAACCCAAACTATACATTGATGCGGATTGTCTATGAACTCTTTCTGAAGGTCACAGAAACCTGAACGCGTAATTCAAATCAAAAAATCAAAATAGTTTATTTACTTTTTTTTAAACATTAATATACACAATAAACAAAGAGAAAAAATTAAGTAAATGGGACTGTGTCGCGATTATAAAAAAAACCGATACACAAAAACAAAAACAGTAAATGTTTTTGTGTCGCACAGCCCTGTAAATATTTAAAACAAATATACATGCATAAATGATACAAAGATTAATACAAAGAATTCAAAATAAAATACATAAAATATACTCAAATACAAAAAAAGAGAATGCAATCAACGGGAATGACCAGGAGGAAGGCTAGGGCACCAGGGAAAAGTTAAATTAAGTTGAAATCATCAGGTTATTATTAAAATTAAAAACTAAAAGGCGACGAAAGCAGGCAGGCAGGTTAGTCACTCGTTTAAATTTCTAACGGTTTTGTTTTTGTTGTTCTAAATATATAGACTTGACACTATTTACAAATTTTTCATATGAAAGCTCTTGAACGCATTTAGGAATCTGATGCCACAATTGAATCGCTACAAAGCTGAAAGATCTCTGAAATGCCGCAGTTCTGTGCTGGGGGACTTTGAAATTATTTACATTTCTGGTAAAATAAGAATGTTCATGAGAATTGAAAAGTGAATTTAAATAGGGTGGTTTTCCGGTTTTTAAAACTTTATAAATAAATGATAACATATGACATTTACGTCTATTGCACATTGATAATATAGAATTACTATTTAGGTATGGTGTAATGTGATGTCTATAGGGTATATTAAACGAGAATCGCATACATGAATTTTGAATTTTTTGTATAGATTTCGCTAGCCCTGCAGATAACGAGGCATCATAGACTATATCACCATAATCAAACAATGATAAAATAAGTGTATTGCATAAGTAATATTTAACAAAAGGTGGTAGAAATTTTTTATAAATATTTAGTTTTTTTAAGCGACAATATGCATTAGTAAGTTTATTTTTAATGTGTGAATTGAAAGTAAGTTTTGAATCGACATGTATTCCCAGATTTTTGGCCTCAGCAACTACAGGTAGCAAAACATTATTGATCTCAACTTTGAAATTTTTTGTAATACCCGTCACTCGAGCCTTGCTGGATTCAAAAAAAAGTACACAAGATTTCGAAGTATTTAATTTCAGATTATGATCTGTAGCAAATTTATCAATCCTATTTATATCAATATTATATTGTAAATTGGATATGATATAATTCTCGTTGGTGAAAGATAGATACAATTGTGAATCATCAGCGTATTGTTGTAACTTAGAATGCGATAATTCGTCATTCATGTCTGCTACATATAAAGAGAATAATAGCGGGCCCAATATTGATCCCTGAGGAACACCAGCGGTCATAGGAGTATAAGGAGATTTTAGCAGACTAAAGTCTTTTTTTATGCCAACACAATGCGATCTTTGAGTAAGGTAAGCACGTAAAAAGTTAACGGATTGTTCAGATAGTCCAAAATAATGCAACTTTGCTAGTAATAAGTTATGATTTAACGTGTCAAATGCTTTGCTAAAATCAAGCAGACTTAAACACGTTGTTTCTTTCATTTCCTGGGAAAGTCTTATATCATTAATAAGCTTAACAAGACATGTAGTTGTACTGAAATTTTTACGAAAACCTGATTGACAATCAGGAATAATTTTCATTAAATCGGTGTAAGTAATAACTTGATTACAGATATGTCTCTCTACTATTTTTGAAACAACCGGCAAAATACTAATAGGTCTAAAGTCTTCCTGATTTGTAGGATTCGTTTTTTTTGGAATAGGTATTATGACAGATTTTTTCCACAAATCCGGAAAAACATTCTCAAGAATACAGGTATTTATTATATTCATTAGTGGTTTCCCACAAAACGGCATGCATAGTTGTAGATCTCTTATTGACAAATTGTCTTCACCAACCGCATTTGTTTTAATTGACTGTATAATTTTATGTAATGATGTCTCATTAATTAATTTAAAGTTCAGTTCTGAAGTAATATTTTTGTGCCTATTATTATTGTAAAAAAAAATTTTTTCTATCGAGGTTGTGTCGATTATTCTATTGCAACTAGCAAAAAAATTATTAAATTTTATAGGATCCGCAATTTCAGGTGGAACTTCAGAGGTTATTCTATGAGTGAGATTTAATTTTTTTGCTGCTTTCCAGAAGTCACTACCCTTTTCACTAGATAGAGACTTAAAATAAGAAATTTTTTCACGGTTAATAGCATGTTTAGTGTAATTTCTTAGATCACGATAATATTTAAGCCGAGCATCCGTCTTATTTTTTAAATATTTCTTATGAGCATTATCCCTCAATTTAATCAAACACTTAATAGTGCCTGTAATCCAAGGTGTAAAAGGCTTAATTTTAGTTTTTTTTTGTTTTAAGGGTGCGTGTTTATTAATAAGATTTGAAATATTATTATTAAATAATTCTAATTTTGTGTTAATATTATTTGTATAATAGATGGTACCCCATGGTAATTCTTGACCGTCTTGTTGAAACTTTTCATAATCAATATTGTCATAGTTCCTGTATTGCATATATTTTTCTTTATATTCGGTAATGGGTATATTAAAATTTCCAAATATTAAACAGTGATCTGATATAGTCTCAGAAATATTAAAAGAGTGACTACTTTGGCAGTAAAGATTATTGTCGGTAATTATACAGTCAATTAGTGTAGATGCGTTCGTGTTCATATCTATCCGCGTAGGTTCCGTAATATGCTGAGTTAGATTAAAGGTATTAAGCAGTTCAATCATTTTTAATTTAGTTCTTGAGTTTTTTAATAAATCGATATTAAAATCTCCAGTTAGAATAATGTGGTTATAATACGGAACAGTAGCAGATAACATGTTTTCTAGAGTGTCAAAAAAATGCTCTAAATTCGACGAAGGAGGTCGATATAAACTCACAAATAGCAAAGTTTTCTTATTTAGGTTGATACGTACGCCAACATATTCACAACTCTCAGAGGTTATTCCAAGATCCACAATTTGACTACTAATATGTTTCCTTACATAGGCTCCCACGCCGCCACCCCTGGCCCCACGATCCTTGCGTATTAGATTATATCCCTCAAGATTAAAAGAACTTGAATCCCAGTCAGATGTTAACCAGGTTTCTGACAGTCCTAGTATGTCAAAGTTGCAATCATAAATATAATTAGCGAACTCGTCAAACCCTGTATTGAGTGATCGAACATTTAGATGAGCAGTGACAAGGCTCTTAGTTTTGACAATTTTGGAATTATGGCCTACCTGCGCAATATTATCACCTAATATCATTGAGATGTCGCAACCCAGTACCCACGCCAGTGCCTAGCTCCCATCGATCACACCCTCTCAGATTATAGCAAACATACATGCCCATCAAAAGCAGTATCAGGAATGTTTAGCCGTAAAGTACAATTTATATTATTCATTACCCAACTTATATAAGATGAAAGAAGATTTTATAGAAAAAATACAATAAGTCACAGCTATATCTCGCCGCCTACTATAATCAAATAAAACTTACATACAAAATTTCGTGTTCATTAGCTTAGTAATTGAAGCATCAATAGAGAATAAAAAATTAAAGTTCAATAATTCATAGATATATTCACCCGCATACTAGAATAGGCAGACTTGAAATGCTTATATCAAAACGAAATTAATATACACTTTCCCTCAAAAAATAGGTATTTTCAATAGAAAACAAAAGTATAAGCAATAATTCCCAACCATATCTAATACGTATAACAATTGCTAGAAAGCCAATACATTAAA